TGAATGAATGAATGAATGAATGAATGAATGAATGAATGAATGAATGAATGAATGAATGAATGTATAGGCTTGTACTGGAGGGAATCCTTGAGTTGTACTGAAAATCCATTTCTTTCTTAATTGCTCTGAAACTGAGTTTGTTCCAACCATGACATGAAGCTCAGCCACTGTAACGTTGTGTTTCTGCGACTGCCTCCCACATCACTGTCCTCACCTCTGTGCGTGGTCCTCTTACAGGAAGCAGTTGAGGACAGACTCAAACTTCTTCGGGAAGCGCACAGAGACTTCGGTCCCTCCTCCCAACATTTCCTCTCCAGTGAGTACAATTACCTTTCATAGTGGAGGGTATGGGGAAAGGAGGTACTTGGGATTGTTTCCACTCAGTTTTTTTGCATCCTTCCATTCATCTCTACACTTCACACATTCTGCGGATATGTGCACTCTCATGCGCTGCCTGCAGGGGAGGCACTTTACTCTTAAAACTCTTAAAAATGCTAGGCTTAATTACGACTTTACCGACTCGCTCCTCTCACTCCCTCTTTGGAGCGGTCATTAGCAGAAAGGAGAAAGTCGGAGACAAGAATCAGGTGCGTTAGTGTCTCCTCCTCTTTGTCTTCCTTTACTTCCCTCACTTTTATAACCATCCAGCCGTCAGCGCCGTCCCTGCTCCACCTGATACACTCTGCTGGCCGTCAGACACGAAGACCAAACGATGGATGTGCGATTCAGGGCAGCTGTTCTGTCGCCATGCAGCGTCAACGACAGATTCACTAAGCAAGCGCTGCCGAGAGCTGAGATCAGACAATAATACTACTCCTCTTTCATCTTTGTGACACCGTGACACTATCTCCTCCATCACAAATTTACTCCCATTACACTAGTAGCTTAATATTCCCTCAGGGATCAATAAAACACTGCGTTCTTATCGTACCCGGTCCATCTCATATCTCCCAATCTCTCCTAATCTCTTTCTCTTACTGTCTTTTCATGTCTCTATCTTAGTGTAAAGTCGTGTCAGGGAGGAGGGAAAGTGGTATGGAGGCAAATCACATATGTTTTGCTGCTCATTGCTCTGAAGAACTACTCAAATATTACCATTTACTGCAACAGATTTTAAAATGTGCTTATTGGAAAATGGAAAAGGCTGGACATATTTCAAGTCGAGCTTCAAAACAGCAAATTGGTTAGAAGTCAGTGTTTATAGAAATGGTGCATCAGTTCCAACAATCTTTTAAATTTGCACTTCTTTTTCCTGTTTTCCATCTGCAGCTTCTGTACAGCTCCCCTGGCAACGTGCAGTTTCTCAGAATAAAGTTCCCTATTACATCAAGTAAGTGACGAGACAATTTTGTGAATGTTTAAAATGTATGCCCATGTCTGAATGTGTGATGGGATGCATGGGTGAGGCATTCAAAGCAGTCCTATCTGAATGTTGTTTTATTTTTTTAATGTTTTAGGATTTGTCTTATCTTTCAATATTTATGGCTTCTAATTCAGTTTGCATTCATTCTTATATTAAAATGAACTCTGACTCTTTGTAACAGGTAGTTTGAAGTGGGATTTTTGTGCAGCAAAAAACTAGAGTTGACTGAGTTTAGTTTAGTAGAGTGTGACTTTCGTTCCATTTTGATTATCTAAATTTTTCAAAAGTTCTTAGTGATCGTATGTATGGGAGAATTTTACTGACATAAGTCGAGAGCACACAAGCGAGCAGAGAGGTTTGCGAGCGGAGATTTGATCCGTGCAGAGAGAAGTTTTGCGCGCAAGCAGAACATTTGAACACAAAAATTTGAGAGAGCACAGAGAATATTTGAAATAGGGCAGAAGTTTTGAGTGCAAAGAGATTAATTCCTGCTTTCAAACTGAAAATGTGTGCTCTCGACTAATATCGGTAAAATTCTCCCATACATATAGAGACGGGTTGTTCTACTAGCATTATAGATCTCTATCCTCTGGGGGCTTTGTATCTTGGCTTTAACTCGATTTCAACATAAAGTGATTTTTTTTTTTAGTTCTCCGAGTGCATTCTCACTGTTCGGTTCTGCAAAGATGAGTTTTTTTAAGCCTCCACTGAGTGACAATAGTCCCATGATGGTTTATTCTTATATACAAATGAACCTGACATTGTGCATCCAGAGAGTGTCAGCAGAGATGTTGGTTAAAGTTGGGTGCTGTTTGCACCCACTTTGTCCAGCTTCACTCAGCTTAGTGACTACCTCCCTTGCCAGCTCAGAGGTGTGACAACATAAAGACTCGTGCCAGCTTGCTCATTAACTAAATGCTACTGAGAGGAGAAATGGTGGTCTTGAGCCTGGTTTTTAAATGAAAGGGGCTAGATTTTTTTCTGCAACAATCTTCTTAAGATGAAAACAGATGGAGGATTCATTGCCAAGTTTACATTTTGACATTACATTTTAAGTAATGTTTTGTAAAAAAAAATACAATTCTTAGAAAGGTTTACCACAATTTATCTGTTCTATATACATTATTAGCACAAATTATTTTTATATCTTTACTCCAATTTGAGTTATTCTTGCTTATTTGCTTTTCTGTCTCAGTGTCATCTGAACAGTTCTCATTCAGTTCCACCTGTCTAAATCCCAGGACAGCCTCTCTCACTCTAATAACTGTGACTATAATCACTTTTAACTTTTGCTAAATCAGGCCAAAAATGAGGTTTCTGTTTACAAAGAAGATTACATGTTTCTGCTTGTCAGAAAATATAAACCAGAATCAAGTGACTGTGTGTCGGGTGTTCTGCTACCAAGGTTAACCTGAATTCATCTTTAGTTTCAGCTTAAAGTAGAGAAAACTTTGTAGAGTTTATTGTCTGCTTTGCTCTTCATTTTGCTTGAATATAGGTGTCACTTTACTTTGTGCAATTACAACCCACAATAAAACGGTTCATCTATCAGTGACCAAAATGTTCTGATTTTTTTTCCTCTTTTATTTAGTTTTCACTTGAAATAGGTTGTTTATTTTGCTGCATAGAGATCTATATATATATATATATATATATATATATATATATATATATATATATGTATTATCTGTCAAGTTAACCCCCCAAATACAAAATCTGCTAGAAACGGTATGATAAATCTTCAAGCTTACTAAATGAAACCTACATTTTTTCACTGTTTACATGTATATGGAAACAAGGCAAGAAAACAACTGTTACAACTTGCAATAAGCCTTTGCAGTTGAGTTGTGTGTAAAATGGCGTAAAACAGCCTCTGATCACAGATGGGCTCTGCTACTGAAACTTCTTCTGCTCACAACACAAACGTACTCTCAAGAAAATGAAACGATACACAGAAGTGTGTTAAGTAATTCGAACACTCATGCTTGGTTGCATCCACATGAAGATGCCAGTGAAGTCGTCCTGGAACAAACTCAATAACCAAATGCTCCCCTTGAGTCTTCACCATATGCACCGCAGATCCTTCCATGTGCACAGAGATAATTTTTTAAAGCCTCTTTGAAACTGAAAGAAGTAGTACCTCTTTTTCTACAATTTAACCATCAGTTTGGACCTTCCCACACAGGTAGATGATATTCAGACAACTTTCCTCCACTTTCACGTGCAGATAAAAAGTGCGTGCAGGTTTCCTTTGGCCCATAAAATCCCACTTAATTTGCTGCCTGAACTGAACTCAGAATCCATCTCCAGGACTAATCACAGGTCACTTTCATTTCTGCCACCTTCTTGAGATTCCTGACACATTCATTTCCCCTGAACGCCTCGTCTCCTCTTCTATCGCTTTTCATGCTGCGCGTCTTTCTTCCAGGTGACAATGGCCCCCTGATTAGAATTAAGCCTTTGTTTGCCCCCTGTAGCGAGGAGTTCAGATGACAAGATGAAATCAAATAGATTCATCTACGCTGCATGAATAATGCGTGTGCGCTGTCCCGTTTCACACCCACTTTTATATTGTGCTCGGGTTGTGGGCAGCGTCCCTCTGAATGTTTAGTTTAAAAAGTTTTAATAGAAATCCTAAACCGTGTGAGCTGTAATTGAAAGGCACAATGCTGCTGTTTCAGAGAGGGATGTGGTTTCAAAGGCAAGAGAATAGAAAGAGGGTAAAAGAGGTGAAGTGATGGCAGCGCAGAGGCGTCAGGTGGTGATTGAAAGTACCTTTCACCTGTCACTGACGACTCCTGATAAGCCTTGCAGGCTGCTGTCAGTGAAGAAAAACCCTTCCTGAAATCTTCCTTACCTTTCCATATTTCACTTTTTTAATTTTCTTGGTTTATCCAGACATGCTTAGTCATTCATCTGCCCACTCATGATTATTCATGCTGACTTCTGAGCGTGTGACAATGACAAACTCCCACCAGCGAAGGAAACGGTTTGCCAGTCAGCCGCCGTTGGGCTTCAAATTAGTGCTTTGAACTTTGGTCATGCAGGGAACGTGGATGTTTTCCCAGAGGAATGTCTTTTTTTTTTTTTTTTTTGTTCGTCAGAGTAAATGTAGCTGTGCAAAACAGAAGTAGTTGAATATAAATTGTTGTGGACCGTCAAGAACGAGATTAGCAATAAAAAGTATTTTATCCTTCCGTGAAACTGCGATGAGGAATGACAGAGCTGCACAGAAAATGTCAAAGGTAGAAAGCAATTATTCTTGAGAGGCTGATAAGTCGCAGCGGCGATCTGTTAGTCGGAAAGGGTTACGTTTGTCAAACCACTTAAGCTGCTTCTCTTCTTCATAAAATCAATCTGTAAAACATTTTTTTTCAACTCATTGTTCCATAGTGAGAACACATATTTCATTGTTTTCTGCCTGATGCTCTTTCCTCGTCTGTCACTCTGGTTGACTTATTGTTTCCTATTTTGAGGTATCAATAAATGATGGGCATAAAATCAAAAATAAATGTTTCACCTGCATTGCTTGTCATCTCCACTCAGACTTACAGTAGGTCTAATAAATCAGGAACGCCATTTGTTTTGATTGTGCATAAAGATGTGCATTTTCAGCAAAAGCACTCTGAATTTGTTGGTTAATTATTCAGCACTGCCTTATGTTTTTTTTGTGGTTGGTGGTAGATGTTCTAAATCTTCTGTTAAGAAAAGCACATTTAAACCCAACTCAGCATGTCACTACAAGGTGCAAATGTAAGTAAAGAAATAAATAAATGAATAAACAAATTTTAGCTAGACTTTGAATATTCAAAAGTCGTTTTTTTTGTTTGTTTTGTTTTGT